GCCATCACGTTGACATCGTCTACAAAGCAATGGAAGACCACCGGGCGCCCCGGTCTTGAGCAGATGCGCACCTGTTCCTCATTGTAGAATAGGAATAGTATAGGTGATAGGGGCGACCCCTGCGGGATGCCTGCTGGGATGTCAAAGGTGTCTGATTCCTGGCCCTCAAAGGCAATTGTGGATTTCCTGTTGGTCATGAAGGACGCAACCCATCCCACCAGGTCCCTGGGGATGCCCAGTCGCCGGAGGATGTGAACCATTCGCTCCCGCAGCACCTTGTCATAGGCCCCTGTCATGTCTAGGGAGAGTACCGATGCCACCTGTCCTGGGTGCTGCCACACTGTCCTTATCTGGGCTAGAAGTTGTGCTATGGCTGTTTCAGTGGACCTGCCCCTTCTTGCCCCCATTTGCTGTGAGGGTAGCAGGTTGTGGTCCTCCGCGATCTTCCGCAGGCGTTTTGCAGTTGCTGCCTCCACAATCTTCCCTATTGTGTCCAGCAAGGCAATGGGTCTCCACGCTCCTGCAGTCTGGTAGTCAGCCTTCCCTGGCTTGCGCAAGGCCACTGTCTTGGCTTCCTTAAACGTGTCTGGGTAAGTCTCCCAATGCCAGCATGCATTGGTGAGAGCTGTTATGGCCTCCACAAATGTTCTGCCCAGCATCTTAAGGAACTCGTTGGTGATCCCACTCCTCCCTGGTGCCTTCCTGTTTGGCAGTCTCTGGATCAGGCTTTCCATGTCCTCCCCTGATGGTATCATTTGACGCTTCCCTTTCAGCTTGCAGCAGCTCCATATTGGTGTCACTTAAGTCGGCGGGCTCTGGCTGTGGGAAGAACCGTTGTCGTAATGCCTCAGCCTTCCCCTCAAAAGAGGTTTCTACCGTCGCGTCAGCCCCTTTCCCCTGTTCTCAGGGGGGGGACAGTAGGTGCCTGTGGGGGCAGATGGCTTCTTTCCTTGCCCCATTTTGCTAGTCCCCACATCAATCTGGGGTCATCACGGGTCCTGTCAACCAGATCTCTGAAGTTTGCTGTCTTAGCCAAGTGGATTTCTCTGTTGCGCTTGCAGCGTGCCCTGAGCCGCTCCATTTCTGGGAGCTGGGACCTCCTAGCCTGCTTGTACTCCTCCACTGCCTTGGCCACCCTCGGTGACCACCATGTCTTGGATTTTAACCCAGCCTTACTTACGGTGGCGTGTTTGTCCGCTAATGTCCCTACAAATCCTACCAGGTAGTCTGCATACTCCTTGACTGCTTGCCTGGAGTCCAGGCTTTGTGGCACATATAGCTTTTGGCAGTCCCTTGCTACCTCCTCAGGCTCCGCATTCTTCCAGTTTCGTCTCTCAGCCTCCTTTGGGATGGGTGTGAGTTCCAGTGTTGTTTCTATGGGCTTATGGTCAGATCCTTTGCATGCCTCCTCCGCTATTGCACACCTCCTGAGCTTGTCGTGCAGGAGTGGTGATAGAAAGGTGAGGTCTATAGTCGTTCCTGGGCTGCCTCTGTCCTGCCATGTGGTAGCTCCTACAGGTGTGGCAAGCTGGAGACCCAGCCTATCCACCTGTGCTATTAGCTGCCATGCCATGCGGAAGTTTCTCTCCACTCTCACCCCTCCCCACCTCTCATGGTGGACATTAAGATCTCCTAATATGACCAGCTCTGCATCTGTGCCCATTCCGGCTACCTCCTGCAGCTGGCCTATGGGGGATTCCTCCGGTTCACTGCTGTAGCCCCCTGGAGGAGGTGCATACACATTGACTATTTGCACCTTACCCAGGTCGGTGGTGATTGTCAGCACTGCAATGTATTCTGAGTGGTAGTGGCACTCCCATGTGTGTTCCACGAGCCTTTTGTTGACCAGAAAGCATACTCTTGGGTGTGTTTCCGGGTGATATGCTGGCCAGAAGCCGCAGCTTCTGGGGCAGTGTGTTGCTAGCATGTGGGGATTCCGGCTGGGCTCTTGTACTGCAATTACGTCGTATTTGTCTTCTGTTGCAGGGTCTGCCAATAACGCACCCATAACTCTCGCAGAGTTGTGCACGTTATATTGTAGGAGGTTTAGTGTGTCCCTCATTGTTGCGTGGGGGCTGGGGTCTGCGTGTAGTCCATTAGGTCCTCCTGCAGCTGAGACCCAGGTTGTGAGCTCTGTGGTGCTATAAAGGCACTTAGAGCTCCTCTCTGGGCTTCGCCTGCTTGCAGAATCCCCTTGGGTCGGCCTGGTCCTCTTCTTTGGCCCTCTGGTTCCCCAGTGGGTAACCTTTTATTTCCTCTGGTTTGCACCACCTGCCACCCATCTTGTGCTTTTGGCTCCATAAACCTACGGGGTCTTTCCATGTATGCTGTACGGGCCCTGCTTGATGCCCTCTCCCTCTCAGGGCACTTAGAGACCCAGGCTGGGTGTGTTCCCCTACAATTTGCGCACCTCGGTTGTTCCCCAGCTTTTCGTGCTGGGCATTCCTTGTCGTCATGTTCTTTTGCCGCGCAGAACCCGCACCTTTTGGCCTGCCTGCAGAATCTGGCCGTATGCCCATACTAATGAACAATTTTAAATTGTTGAAATTTATATTTTACATTGTAATAAGTTTTCTGTGTTTGTTGCATCTTTTGTAGATTCTCAATAAGCTTGTGATGTGTTTCCTCAATATGTTTCATGCAGTTAGCAGCATATATGGCAACCGGTTGTGATGATTTGCTGATATTAATTTTTAAATCAAATTGATATTCCATTAAAGCTTATCCTCTTCTATTGCATCCGAATGATGTCATAGGGTGGTTGGAAACCGGTTCGGACACCTGCGTGACGTCATGGGATAGATGGGATTATCCGAGGGGAAGCGATGGGCCGTGTGGAGCCGTTACGGGGCCTTGGCACAACCAAGGGTGTGACATGAACACATAGATCTGTTTATTGATGAGTTTTTTAATTAATTAATGATAGAAAACCTTTAAAGAGTAGAAGCTTTTTTAATTGTAAAAAGTATTATTTAGAATAAAAAATTTGAACTGAATCATATATAAACAATGACAAATAAGCAGATGATTCAGTTGAATATTGAAATGAATATATTTTCAATAGTAAAAAATGAATTAAAGAGTTCTATCTGACAATCACAGTTCAAGAAGATTAAATTGTTTTTATTTATTATTTATAATAATGACAGCAAATCTCATACTACTTCTGCTTCTGAATTTGAAATTTAGATATTACTGTACATAATATTACAGAAAAGTTACCTTTTTTATATGGTCAAAGGAGGTACATAGCTCACTGTACGGAACATATATGGGTTATTTGGAGGCCTTGGCTGAACACCGTAGGAACACGTGTTCGAACACAGGCAAGTCCACCTTCATATAACCACTAGTTATCCGTGGCACTGGGTAATTGGACAATAGTAACATTCCGCAGGCTTTCCGGAGCTCGTTGCATTCTGGACGAACAGGTCACCATTGCCCTGTAATTGTAACGAAGGTCATCGACGCCCTTTCCTTTTCGAACCCATGTTCATTGGAAAAGGTAACAAACAGGTGGATTTATGACTTGGCACAGAAGGCCCCACTATGACATGCTTATGGAATGAATGGGGCGTCATAAATAAAAATAACGCCTGTCGTCCCGTTCTGTCCCATCTTGTCCCAGTGGTGTACCATTTGGCTGTATAGAAAACTACTTCGCGCGAGACAATGTTCATTTGTGCTATGAAATCACTCTTGCGAAGACTGATGATCTGAGCGTACATTCTCGGGGAGAGTATAACGATATTCTGGAGATATTCTGGATCAAGTTGACATAATAACACATGCAATCCAAATGATAATCATTCATTCTTTATCTTAAACAAAACATCAACACACTATTTCTGCCTCCTTGGCCGCTTCAAGACATGCATCTGTTGAGTGAAGGAGGTATTGGGTGTAGCTTCTGCTGGGGCTACAAAGCTTGTCTGACTTAGTTGGCCATCAACCTCCAAAAAGCATGGAGTGTTTGATTGAGAGAGTCCAAGTTCTGACTGAGGAACATTAAAATTTACTCCAGGAGGGATCGCATTAATAGCCGAGGCAGGACCTTGAGCGTCTACTCGTACGTTGTCACTACCCGACTCACTTATGGATTTAGGAAACGGATGTGCCTAGGGGATGAAATGGCCAAAAAATACATAACAGACTGACAGTGTACTGCCAGTATGTTCATTCTGATAAACTTGAGGCCAAAACACACTAAATATTTTGAATTTGTCTTCATCAGTGATATATAGAGTGATGTCTCTGGGCTTTCTGAACTGAAGAAAAAGATATCTGACAATCTGTGCAGTACAAATGATAATCTGTATCATGCTGGCATAACGCCCGTTGATCAATAAAGGATCTGTTGCAAGGGTTGCAATGACTTCCCCTTCCCCATCTGTGGCTAAGTTGATGTGGGCTTTATCCCTATTAGCCAAACCTTTGGCAGAGAAGTTCAGTTTAGAAAGCGAATCATGTGCACTGCTCACTAGCAGACAGGAACATGACTGCCACAAACTGGAGATAATATTGCTTTCTCTTCCTCCGCCTGAAGACTCTTTCCCGTCATCTCCCACAGTAGATCCAGAGTGAAAGAGGGGAACTCCTCCAGCATCTCCGCGAAGTCTGGCTGTGTTTTCAACGATGCAACATTCCAATGCAAGTCGAAAGAAGGGCAACAGCACCTTCAGGCTGTTTCTCAAGGGCCTGTTTCCAATTCTGCTCGGGCGCTACTCTGGACGTCTGACCCGCTTGTCGTAGCGGTACACCCAGTCAAGCCATTGTTATTACAGAGTTGTTTCAACATGCCCACCTGATGAAGTGGCCTTTTCAAAGATCCAATCCACTTTTCATCAGGCGCTTGTCTATGTCAGACCGGTGAAAGTCTACGATCAGGACCCAGTGCAGCTCATCATTTCATAACATATTGACAGACTGCAGATTTTTATATATCACTCTCAGCATGCAGATCTTCTTCAATCTGGAAATCTGTAATGCACTCGCTTATCATTTCCTTATATCTTCGTTTATTATTGCCTTTTACTATGTTCTCGCTACCACTATTTCCATATGTGTATATATACATCCACATGTACTCCGCACATCTTCTTTTCTCTTTCTTTTCTTCCTTAGCGATTAGCTACTATTATCTCTTACTATTACTGCTATTTACTATATTAATATATGCTGCTTACTATCTTTTGCTATTCGCTCTTCACACTGTTATCAACCCTCACAAATTATAACAGAATGATTTACTGATTTCTAAAACATTGAATCAGCTGCTAGCTATATACACACAGTATTATAGACAGATTGGACTTGCTATAATGTAGATGGTATAATATGATGCAAGTGATATGATAATGCCTTGATTTCAAACCTGATATGACATTGGTGGTGCTAAGTTCAGCGATGTCATATCTTTTTAGGGTAATTACCACTTCCGGCCTAACACTGATATCTTAGTGCGGGTTTCTTACACAGCCAGCCATCCATTGAAGCAGTGTGAGAGGGCGCAAAAGCTGTGAGCAGGCGCATCATCTCTGAAGCAGCAACAGTTCTGCTGCAACAGAACTAACTAGTGCACAAGGCTGATTAATGATGATAGCGCACAAGCAGTCTGGGCGCCCCACTAACCAGCATAAAAGAAACGACAATATTATTCATATTTTTCATTCAAATAATTATTCTCTATTAATAATTATAAATTATGTAGAATTCATCTATACAAGTCATATACAGCTGCTTATATATTTCATTATGTTCATTTGAGGGATTAAACAGTGAGTTTTCAAGCTGGATAAGCGAGCGCAAAGCGATTGCGGCTTGTTTTATATTCTAAACAAACTAAGGATTAAAGTTGAGCTCCAAAGCCAGTATTTAAGTTACTAGTTACTTAACTAGTAGCTAACTTTGTTACCTCGACTTTGATATCCCAGGCCGAACCCTTGAGCTCTCATTCACATATGTCGATTAGGGATCCATATAAACTAACTATTTACATATAAACTAACCATCTCATGTCAAGATGGGCTCGTCTCCGGTCCAAGGACACCCAGTTACCGTCAGTCTAAAGGAGCTCGAACAGGGTAAGCGCATGAACTCTGCTTTACTCCTCTTAATCTCCACGCCTTCCCTAAGCTTCCAGATACAAGCAGACGCCGGGCTCTAATGTATAAAGCGCCAAAGGGTCTGTGTCTTTCGAGACCTTAACAGAAGCTTTCGGCCCCTCTTCGCTCGGCATCATCGTTGTCAAGGACCTGCCCGCTCGCTTCCGCGACCTGCGGGGCGCCGCCCTGTCCAATGCCTCTCTCGTAGCGGCCCTCCCGCCAGCCGAGCTCGGTATGTGTAGAACAAAGACAAAACCAGATAATAGATAATAGGGATAGATACTACTTGGGGGATGAAATAAAATAAACGCTGAATAAACTGACCAAACCTCGCGCATCGCAGACGCCCTCTCGAGCCCCGCCTCCAAATATCTCGTAGGCTGGTCCTGCGGGCAAGGAAACTCTTCGCTCCGGCCGCTTTCGACACGCTCAAGGGGCTCTTATTACGTTTAACTGCGCCTTCTACCAGGACCCGCGCTGC